TTCTGGAAAAACCATTGGAGCTATCGAAGAAATGAAAGCGGATATGACTTCTGCGGCCCGAAATCTACAAAAAAATGTATTTTGTAAAATTTCGAAAATTTCGTTGAAAATTGGTCGAAAATTGGTGGTATTTTGCATATTTTTATGTATTTCAAAGGACGATTCTGGAAAAACCATCGGAGTTATCGAGGAAATGAAAGCGGATATGACTTCTGCGGCCCGAAATCTACAAAAAAATGTATTTTGTAAAATTTCGAAAATTTCGTCGAAAATTGGTGGTATTTTGCATATTTCTAGGTATTTCAAAAAACGATTCTGGAAAAACCATTGGATTTATCGAAGAAATGAAAGCGGATATGACTTCAGCGGCCCGAAATCTACAAGAAAATGTATTTAGTGAAATTTCGAAAATTTCGTTGAAAATTGGTCGAAAATTGGTGGTATTTTGCATATTTTTATATATTTCAAAGGACGATTCTGGAAAAACTTTTGGATTTGTCGAAGAAATGAAACCGGATCTAACTTCAGCGGCCCGAAATTTACAAGAAAATGTATTTAGTGAAATTTCAAAAATTTCGTTGAAAATTGGTCGAAAATTGGTGGTATTTTGCATTTTTTATGTATTTCAAAGAAGATTCTGGAAAAACCATTGGATTTATCGAAGAAATGAAAGCGGATATGAGTTCTGCGGCCCGAAATCTACAAGAAAATGTATCTCGTGAAATTTCGAAACTTTCGTTGGAAATTGGTCGAAAATTGGTGGTATTTTGTATGTATTTATATATTTCAAAGGACGATTCTGGAAAAACCATTGGAGTTATCGAAGAAATGAAGGCGGAAATGACTTCAGCAGCCCGAAATTTACAAGAAAATGTATTTAGTGAAGTTTCGAAAATTACGTTGAAAATTGGTCGAAAATTGGTGGTATTTTTCATATTTTTATGAATTTCAAAGAACGATTTTGGAAAAACCATTGGAGTTATCGAAGAAATGAAGGCGGAAATGACTTCAGCAGCCCGAAATTTACAAGAAAATGTATCTAGTGAAATTTCGAAACTTTCGTTGGAAATTGGTCGAAAATTGGTGGTATTTTGTATGTTTTTATATATTTCAAACGACGATTCTGGAAAAACCATTGGAGTTATCGAAAAAATGAAACGGATATGACTTCTGCGGTCCGAAATTTACAAAGAAATGTATTTAGTAAAATGTCAAAAATTTCGTTGAAAATTGGTCGAAAATTGGTCGTATTTAGCATATTTTTGTATATTTCAAAGGACAATTTTAGAAAAACAATTGGAGTTATCGAAGAAATGAAAGCGATTATGACTTCAGCAGCCCGAAATTTACAAGGAAATGAATTTAGTGAAATTTCGAAAATTTCGTTGAAAATTGGTCGAAAATTGGTGGTATTTTGCGTATTTTTATGTATTTCAAAGGACGATTCTGGAAAAACCAATGTAGTTATCGAAGAAATGAAAGCGGATATGAGTTCTGCGGCCCGAAATTTACAAGAAAATGAATTTAGTGAAATTTCGAAAATTGCGTTGAAAATTGGTCGTGTTTTACATATTTTTATATAATTCAAAGGACGATTCTGGAAAAACCATTCAAGTTATCGAAGAAATGAAAGCGGAATTGACTTCAGCGGTCCAAAATCTACAAGAAAATATACTTTGTAAAATTTCAAAAATTTTGTTGAAAATTGGTGAAGAATTGGTGGTATTTTGCATATTTCTAGGTATTTCAAAGGACGATTCTGGAAAAACCATTGGATTTATCGAAGAAATGAAAGCGGACATGACTTCAGCGGCCCGAAATCTACAAGAAAATATATCTAGTGAAATTTCGAAAATTTCGTTGAAAATTGGTCGAAAATTGGTCGTATTTTGGATATTTTTATATATTTCAAAGGACAATTCTGGAAAAACCATTGGAGTTATCGAAGAAATGAAAGCGGATATGACTTCTGCGGCCTGAAATTTAGAAGAAAATGTAGTTAGTAAAATTGCGAAAATTTCGTTGAAAATTGGTCGAAAATTGGTGGTATTTTGCTTATTCTTATGTATTTCAAAGGACGATTCTGGAAAAACCATTAGATTTATCGAAGAAATGAAAGCGGAAATGACTTCAGCGACCCGAAATCTATAAGAAAATGTATTTAGTGTAATTTCGAAAATTTCGTTGAAAATTGGTCGAAAATTGGTGGTATTTTACACATTTTTATGTATTTCAAAGGACGGTTCAGAAAAATCATTGGAATTATCGAAGAATTGAAAGCGGAAATGACTTCAGCGGCCCGAAATCTACAAGAAAATGTATTTAGTGGAATATCGAAAATTTCGTTGAAAATTATTCGAAAATTGGTGGTATTTTGCATATTTTTATGTACTTCAAAGGACGATTCTGGAAACACCATCGGAGTTATCGAAGAAATGAAAGCGGATATGACTTCTGCGGCCCTAAATCTACCAGAAATTGTATTTAGTGAAATTTCGAAAATTTCGTTGAAAATTGGTAGAAAATTGGTGGCATTTTGCCTATTTATATGTATTTCAAAGGACGATTCTGGAAAAATCATTGGAATTATCGAAGAATTGAAAGCGGAAATGACTTCAGCGGCTTGAAATCTACAAGAAAATGTTTTTAGTGAAATTTTGAAAATTTCGTTGAAAATTGGTGGTATTTTACATATTTCTATGTATTTCAAAGGACGATTCTGGAAAAACCATTGGATTTATCGAGGGAATGAAAGCGGAAATGACTTCTGCGGTCCTAAATCTACAAGAAAATGTATTTGGTGAAATTTCGAAAATTTCGATGAAAATTGGTCAAAAATTGGTGGTATTTTGCATATTTTTGTGTATTTCAAAGGACGATTCTGGTAATACCATTGGAATTATCGAAGAAATGAAAGCGGAAATGACTTTCATTTCCTATATATTTTAACTCATAAATTGAGTGCCCTTTTATCTTGGATTTAAACTCTCTTACATCCGTACCAATGTAGTATTCAGAGCAATATTGTATGTACAACGTTCTTTGTGATTTACACCATGACTCAATAAATTCTATTTTGAAGGCGTTTTAGGTGTTTTTAGCCTAAAATCCGCTCTTTTATCCCTAACTCAAAATAATATTTTAACAATTTCTTCCCGTTCATGTTCAAATCCTAATTAAATTAAACAACAATTAAAAAAAATGTTTTTTAATTGTTGAAAACGTTTTCGAATTTTGTATTTTTCACATCTGCTGTGATGAAATTATTAAGTCATTTACACTGAAATTATTCATTTCTAGGCGGATAAATTTTTGTTTTACAAACTCAGTCAATTTGCCTTTTGGAGATTTTGCCCCACGTTCGCTTTTCAAATTGCCAGGCAAATAGATTTCCTTGAAAATAAAACTTTATCCGGTTAAATAAGTAGCTCTTGTGTAGTTACGCTCGACAAATAAGGCTAATATATTAAGAACTTTCGTCAAAGAGGAATAATAAAAGGATCATAAAATTATAAATTAAAGGCGGCTTCTTTGGCATGTTGCTGTCTTGTTAATATTGCAACCTAATACTTTTATTACTTAGAATATGCAAGCTTTAATAAAGCACACTTTCAGGCTTTTATTAGATTACCTACTTATTAATTACGAATAATAAGAGCATCCTGCAATCCGTCAAACAATCAATAGTTTCATTTTCAAGCACAGAAGCTCAGTATATATCTGCTGCAGAAGGTGTTAAAGAACTCCTCTGTCTCAAACCTCTTGATGAACTTACCAGTGGCGAAGTGAAAATAAATTAATTAATTTAGTATTATTGTTATAAAAAAATATCTAATTGTACAAAATAATCAAACTATTCCAGCTACTCTTCAACGTCAATGAGAAAGTCTCGCCGTGTTTCCATACAGCCCCTCTTTGCACCCCTGCTCAAACTCCTGCAGATCCTCCATATCAATCTTCGACCCCAAAAACACCGGAGTCTTCTCCCTGACATCGCGCACCTGCAAATCCAGAATGGGAACTTTCAAATCAGTCGCCAACCCGCCAGCTTGCGTTACAATGAACGCCATGGGCTGACATATGCATATCACGCTGTATTTCCCCTTCGGCGTCTCCTTGGTGCTCGGGTACATGAACATCCCTCCTTGCTTAATAATCCTGTGCACGTCCGCCACAAACGAGCCCATGTACCTAAACACATTCTGCTTCTTCTTTTCGGACATCTTCTTGTGCTTAATATAGTTCTTGATGACGTCGTCCCACGTGTTCATGCTGGCTTCGTCCACACTATACACGTGTCCCTTCTTCGGCATCACCACGTCGTGCTCCGTCAAGCAGAACTCCCCGATTTCTGGGTCCAGGACGAATTCGTGTACTCCGTGCCCCAAAGACAAAACGAATAAAGTGGCGCTGCTGTAGAGAATGTAGCCGGCAGCCACCAAGACGTTATGGGGGTCGACGACATCGTCCTTCGTCGGAATCCCGAGGTCCTTTTTCAGCATCACGCTGAAGATGGAGCCCACGCTGAACCCGCAGGTGGCGTTGTCTGCGCAGTCTATAGGCGAGAAGGTCACCATGAAGAGGCCTTTCTTGGGGGAGTTGGATTCCAGGATGTTTTTGTTGGATTCGGAGACGAGGATTCCGACGTTGTTGCAGCTGGACAACGTGTCGGTGAAGACTCCGTTGGCGTAGGTCTGGATGGTGTTGGATTCTTTGTCTTGCAGATGGAGAATCTGGATGAAGGAGCTGACGGATTTGGCCACGATTTCGAACGAGGTGATGACTTCGACGAGTTGGTGCTCGATTTTGATTTTCTCGGAGCAGACGAACTGGGTTAGAGTCAGTGTGGAGTCGATGGAGTAGTAGGGGTTTCTGCTCGATAACGTTTCCATGTATGTAACACTATTCAAAACTACAACGAAACAAAGGATTTCGGTGACAGTTGAAGTATTTGTGTCAATTCGTAACCGCGTAACACGTATTTACCCAAACGTGTCACCGTCACCCATCACAATGGCAAACATCATCCAATCTCCTAATTACCACATGACCCTCAGCAAGTTCATCTTCAACGAGGAACTCAAACACGAGAAGATCACCGGCGAGTTCACCGAGCTCCTCAGCTCGTGTCAAACCATCGCGAAAGCCATCAGTGCCATGTTGCGCCGGGTGGGCTTGAACGAGCCCTACGGCACCCCCGAAAAGGAAAAAGAACCCATGAAAATCCAAGGTATAGCCCAAGATATTTTCATCAAGATCCTCTCCGAAACCGGTTCGGTTGGCATCATCATTTCAAGGTTCAGCCCCAAAGTCATCGACGTGGAAAAGACCAAGAAGGGGAAATACATCTTGGTGATCGACCCTTTGGACGGGGTGACCAACATAGAGTTGGGACTTCCCACGGGTTCCATCTTCGGCATCATGCTGCGGGTGGACAGTCGCGTCCCCACTGTGGAGGACGCTCTTAACTCCAACAACAAGATGGTGGCCTCTGGGTACATGATGTACGGAAGCACCACCATTTTCGTGCTTACCACAGGGGAAGGGGTAAACGAGTTTATCCTAGATCCCCAAATCGGGGAGTTCCTGTTGACCGATAAGGCAATACGAATCGCTGAAAAAGGCATGAGCTATTCTGTGAACGAAGGGTACTTGGCGTTGTGGGACGACGCCATCAAGGAGTACATAAGGGAGAGGAAGTTCCCGGATAAGAAGAAGCACTACACGGCGAGGTACGTGGGCTCGATGGTCGGTGATTTCCACAGGACTCTGAAGCGAGGGGGCATTTTTATGTACCCTGGTAACAAGGACCAACCCTTCGGAAAACTGGAGTTGATGAGTAAGTGCAAACCCTTGGCTTTCATCGTCACGCAAGCGGGCGGAGCGGCGAGCGATGGTCATACCAACATCTTGGAGATCGTGCCGAAAAGCATACACCAGACGACTCCCATTTTTATAGGGTCTCCGGTGGACGTCAACGAGGTTTTAGAGTTTGTAGAGAAACACCAGAAGAGGTAGTTGTAATTTGGTACGAGAATAAAAGTTAACAACTCTTCTTGGTCTTTACTGTTAAAACAAAAAGATTTTCATTCTGGAATTTGGTGTTTTAAAGTTTGTTCTAAATGGCACTACATGATATTCCTATATACATACAAAATTTGGCAACAATTGGTCTAATAGGTTCGGATATTATCTGTCTAAGAAAATCCGGAGAGACGACAGACAGACGGACGGAAACGGCAGATCTAGTAATTATTTTCGACTGTGTATTTTTTCTTGTTCTTGTCGCTTCATTTAGGATTCAGCACGACGTTAGCGAAAATCAATTAAGGAGAGCGACGGAGCGATCGGCAAGCGAGACGAGGTGCGTTTGAGTGAAGCGTACTGTTAACTTTCGGTACGTCGGAATGACATTTAATTAAGCGTTCGCAGCTGATGGAAATAGTTTAAATAAAATGAATAAACGCAAAAACCCGGCGTCCTTTCATCGGTAAAATTGATGTCACGAGGATCCTCCGCGCCTAATCTGATTTGTTGCACTAATGAGCGACCGTCTTCTTCTAATGGCGAAAAGTCGACGCGGGTCGCACCTGGAGGCCGGCGGTGTTAAATTCCCTCGGTTTCTAATTAAGACTTTGAATAAAAAATCGCTCTATTAATCAGGAGTAACTACAAAGTGTTGTGATGTACGATGAAATTTATAAAGCGGGTTAGTAATGGCCGGTGCTTTGGGACTTGACGGTAGATAAATCCATCTAGCGATGGAAGTATGGTATTCGTGATTTGTAAGTGTCAAAAGTGAGGTCGTACGGAGGTGTTAATGACCATCGGCCGGCCAGACTTGCACTGTTTGTTTCACTTATTGCCCATCAATCAGTGGGAGATGATTAGGGCTATCGAATCGCTTAATTAGGTGGGAATGTGAGAGGAGTACCGGCGATGGAAGAGGGCCGGGGAGATAGCTTCATTAAAAACGCTGAAAGTCGAAAAAGTTGGAAGGTGATTGTGTATCACGCAAAAATTTGGAGTGTTTTGAATGTCAAGCTGAGCAGTTTTAAGTCTTTCGAAGAAAATGTACACAGTACTTGCCATGGGTACTTGACAGTTTGGAAGATTATTTTTCCAGTTCTTTTCCGAATTTTTAGTAGTAATTATGTAATTACATAGTGATTGTTTAAATAAAAATAACGATACTGTTTAGGGGTTTTCAGGGATCAGGACAGGTCAGGTCAGGTTTAAACAACTTCTCAAAATCCAATCAAATCCAAAAATAAATTTCACCCTATTACAAGCAAAACACAATTTATCACAGTAAGTTTGCTTTTATACAGTAAAAGTTAAAAAAATAAAAAAAAATCATTTCGAAAAACTGGCCTAATTATTTAACCAGATTTTTTTTTACATTTTTTCTTCTCATACTTCTAATATGTCGATGTGTCCCATAAAAAGGTAAGAAATCGCAGCAACCATCAACTTTAAATAAGAAAATACTTAACAAAAAAAGAACGGGAACAAAAAGTAGAATAAGATGTACGCATTAGTAAAATACGGGATGTCTATTTGAAAAACTGAAATATCTATATCTGCAAATTGTAATAATGAAAATTTTTGATGAACACTCTGTGGTACAATTGCAATTTTCAGTCATTTTTTCATCCCACAACAAAGTTCGTACTTTTCTTTACTTTCCCATAAAATATTGTAACATAGAATTCAAAAATAACCGCGATTCTTTTATGAACATTTCCCTTTCAAGAAAATTGGAATAAAAAAAAGTTGTGCTACTCTTAAAAACGGTATACTTAGAAATAATTTTAAAGTATAGTCCTTAAAGAACCGCACACCCTGTAAACATAAATAGAAGTGAAAAAAACACTATTGGCCTCCCTTATTCTTTCACACAAAGATAGGTGCTCCAGAAATTTTTTCGCATTCCTAAAAACCGATACTAGGATCCTACAAGGTTCTTTAGGATCCTTAAAAAACAGAAGGAAACTCCCGGATTTTTACATTCTTAGAGAAAAAGATGCTAAGCCCCCCGAGATTCATTCGCATTCTTAGAGAAAAAGGCAATAAAGCCCCCCTAGATTTTTTCACATCAATAAAAAAGGGGCTCCCAAGAATCTTTCGCATTCTTAGAGAAACAGACACTAAGAGCCCCCGAGATTCTTCCCTGCACTTAAAGAAAAAGACCCTAGAGACTCCCGAGATTTGTTTGGATTCTTAGAAAAAAAGACACTAAGGGTTCTCTTGCTTCTTTCAAAGAAAAAGACACTAAAGGTGTTCCCGAGAATCTTTCGCATTCTTAGAGAAAACGACACTAAGATTCTTGCCCACTCTTAAAGAAAAAGACCCTAAAAGCTCCAGAGATTTTTTCACATTCTTAGATAAAAAGACACTAAGGGCTCCCTTGCTTCGTTCAGATCTATAAAAAAGAGACACAACAAACTGCCGAGAATCTTTCGTATTCTAAGAGAAAAAGACAATAAGGGAGCCAGAGATTCTTTTTCATTCTTAAGGAAAAAATATACTAGGGGCTCTCGAGATTTTTTCGCATTTTTAGAGGAAAAGACACTAAAGCCCTCCTAGATTATTTCTCATTCTTAGAGAAAACGACACTAAGACTCTTGCCCACTCTTTAGAGAAAAATGCACTAAGGGACCCAAAGAATCTTACCCACTCTTAAAGAAAAAGACGCTAAAAGCTCCCGAAATGTTTTCATATCCTTAGATAAAAAGACACTAAGGGCTTCCTTGCTTCATTCAGATCCATAAAAAAGAGATACAAGGAGCTCCCGAGAATCTTTCACATTCTTAGAGAAAAAGACAATAAGGGCCACAGAGATTCTTTTTCTTTCTTAAAGAAAAAAAAACACGCTAGAGGCTCTCGAGATTTTTTTGCATTCTTAGGGGAAAAGACACTAAAGCCCTCCTAGATTCTTTCACATTCTTAGAGAAAAAGACATTAGGGGTCCCCTTGATTCTTTCACAACAATAAAAAGAGAGGTACAAGCGGCCCGCGACAATCTATCGCTTTCTTAGAGAAAAAGACACTAAGGGTCCCAGAGATACATTCCTACTCTTAAAGAAAAGGAGACTAGAAGCTCTGAGATTTATTTGCATTCTTAGAGAAAAAGACGCTAAGGGCTCTCTTGCTTCTTTCACATTCTTAGAGAAAAAGACACTAAAGGCCCTCGAAATTCGTTCCTACTTTTAAAGAAAAAGACACTAGAGGTTCCAGAGATTTATTTGCATTCTTAGAGAAAAAGACACTAAAGGCCAGAGTTCCTTTTTTAATCTTAAAGAAAAAAAACGCTATTGGCTCTCGAAATTTTTTCGCATTCTTAAAGAAAAAGACACTAAGGCCTCCCGAGATACTTTCGCATTCTTAGAGAAAAAGACACTAAGGGCTCCAGAGATTCTTTCCTATTCTTAAAGAAAAAGACAATAAATGCTCCCGAGATTTGTTTGTATTCTTAGAAAAAGAGACACTCAGGGTTCTCCTGCTTCTTTCACATTTATAAAAAAAGAGATACAAGGTGTTCCCGAGAATGTCTCGTATTTTTAGAGAAAAAGACACTAAGGGCCCCCGAGCTTCTTTCCCGCTCTTAAAGAAAAAGACAATAGAGACTCCCGAGGTTTGTTTGTATTCTTAGAGAAAAAGACACTAAGGGCTCTCTTGCTTCTTTCACATTTATAAGAAAGAGACACAGGGGGTTCTCGAGAATCTTTCGCATTCTTAGAAGAAAAGACACTGAAACCCTCCTCGATTCTTTCACATTCTTAGAAAAAATGACACTAAAGGCCCTCGAAATTCTTTCCTACTCTTAAAGAAAAAGACATTAGAGGCTCTCGAGATTTATTTGCATTCTTAGAGAAAAAGACACTAAGGGCGACAGAGTTTCTTTTTCAATCTTAAAGAAAAAAAAACGCTAGTGGCTCTCGAGAATATTTCGCATTCTTAGAGAAAAAGACATTAAGGGATCCCGAGATTCTTTCGCATCCTTAGAGAAAATGACACTTAGGGCTCCTGAGATTCTTTCCTATTCTTAAAGAAAAAGACAATAGATGCTCCGGAGATTTGTTTGCATTCTTAGAGAAACAGACACTCAGGATTCTGTTGCCTCTTTCACATTTATAAAAAAAGAGATACAAGGTGTTTCCGAGAATGTCTCGTATTCTTAGGGAAAAAGACACTAAGGGCCCTCGAGATTCTTTCCTACTCTTAAAGAAAAAGACAATAGAGACTCCCGAGGTTTGTTTGCATTCTTAGAAAAAAAGACACTAAGGGCTCTCTTGCTTCTTTCACATTTATAAGAAATAGACGCAGGGGGTTCTCGAGAATCTTTCGCATTCTTAGAGAAAAGACTCTAAAGCCCTCGATTCTTTCACATTCTTAAAGAAAAAGACACTAAAGACCCTCGAAATTCGTTCCTACTTTTAAAGAAAAAGACACTAGAGGCTCCCGAGATTTATTTGCATTCTTAGAGAAAAAGACACTAAGGGCCATAGAGTTTCTTTTTCATTCTTAAAGAAAAAAAACGCTAGAGGTTCTCGAGATTTTTTCACATTCTTAGAGAAAAGACACTAAGACCTCCCGAGATTCTTTCGCATCCTTTGAGTAAAAGACACTTAGGGCTCCTGAGATTCTTTCCTATTCTTAAAGAAAAAGACAATAGATGCTCCGGAGATTTGTTTGCATTCTTAGAGAAAGAGACACTCAGGATTCTCTTGCTTCTTTCACATTTATATAAAAAGAGATACAAGGTGTTCCCGAGAATGTCTCGTATTCTTAGGAAAAAAGACACTAAGGGCCCCCGAGATTCTTTCCTACCCTTAAAGTAAAAGACAATAGACTCCCGAGGTTTGTTTGCATTCTTAGAGAAAAAGACACTAAGGGCTCTCTTGCTTCTTTCACATTTATAAGAAATAGACGCAGGGGGTTCTCGAGAATCTTTCGCATTCTTAGAGAAAAGACTCTAAAGCCCTCCTCGATTCTTTCACATTCTTAAAGAAAAAGACATTTGGGGTCTCCTTGATTCTTAT